TTTGTCAAAAGACTTGAATCTAGAAGTTTCAAGAACTCTCAAAACTCAATAGTAAGAAAGCAAACATCACAATTTTTGAGTGGGCAAAAGATTTAACATCAACTTCTTTGAAAAAAGATATACAGGTAGCAAATTAGCACCTGAAAAGATGTATGATATCATTAGTCATTAGGGAAAGGAAAACTAAAAAGATGATAAGAAATTACTATGTACATATTAGGATGGCAGTAATTAATTTATAGGGTCAGTATCAAGTGCTGGCAAGCATGAGTAACAACTGGAACTTTCATATGGTGCTGGTGAGAATGCAAAATGGCGCAGCCTCTCCAGAAAATGGTTGGGCAGTTTCTCAAACATTGCGTAGCAATCCCTCTCTTAGGTGTTTACTCTAGTGAATTGAAAATGTGTGTTCACACAGAAACCTGTGCATGCAAGTTTATAGTAGTTGTGTTTGTAATCACCAAAATTGAACCTGCCCAGATGTCCCTCAGTCAGTGAATGGATAAACAAAGTTTGGTGGCCATCCACACCATCAAATTCTGTTCAGCAATAAAAGGTAATAAGCTGTTGACTCATGCAGCAACATGGGTGGATCCCAAAAGTATTATGCTGAGTGAAAGAAGCAATCTAAAAGGTTTTTATACCATATGATTCAATTTACATGACATTTTAAGAAAGAAAACCAAAGCAAGAGCTGATCAGTGGTTGCCAAAAGTTGGTGTGGAGTGGGGGGAATGTAACAAATACAACATAATACAAAGGGCTTCTGAGGGTGCCATGGACTGGTCTATATCTAGTGATTGTGGTGATACTGGTTTTATGATTCTGTCCTTGTGTTAAAATTCACAGCACTGTATGCCAAAAAAAGGAAATTTTACTCTAAATTAATTACAATAATAAATTAAAATACCAATATAAACCCACTATGAAAATGTAACACATTTTAATGAAAATTAATTATATTCTCAAAAACAAAAAGATCAGTGGAAACAGTGGCATGGTTTTATGTTTTTTTGTAAATCTCCTTACTGTCTGGCTTAATAGAGAGCTGGATTCACGTATGTGTTTCTGCATTCAGACAGTTGTGATATCACATGTCACAGGTCTGGAAAACCCCACTGCACACTTGAAAGAGAATGAGAGTGAGAAAAAAAAGCCTATGTCTTGATATGATTAGAATTGCTGTTTTCACCCCCTGGACCACCTGAAAGGGTCTCAGGGATTTCCACGGCTTCCTGGACTTTACTTTAAGAACCACTAATAAGACATGTCATCCGAAATTTCACTCATTTTTTCAAAAACTTGTCCTCCCCATATCCACATATCTCCATTGTTTCTGTAATGGCTTTGTAAAAAGTGATCCACTTATTGGCTTAAATTTATTTAAAGAGGAAACTTTCTATATCTCCTATAAGTAGAAAACCAGTACCACTTTTCCATAAATAGAGAAACCACAAAAATAAATAAACAACGAATAACTTTATGTAAAGTTTCCCTGTGAAAGACCTGAATTCATCTAGGCATGCTACACTTTGGAAAACATCAATGTAGAGAAGTAATGACACATAGCTAAATCTGGCATTACTTCATTTGTGCCAACCCATTGAATCCAGGCAATTAATGTAAGAGGTAGACAGTGTAATCCTTTTTCTTTTCTTTTCATCAATGAAAAAAAAAAAAACATGAAACACAGGGAATGTAAAGAAATTGCCCTATGTTTCATTGGAAGTAAATTCCAGGGCTGAGATTTGAACCCAGGCATTCTGGCTGCAGTCTAAGGTACTGTGTTGGTGGAAAAGAAACCCAGGTCCTCATCTAAATCTTGCCATAAGTTGACACCAGGACATGCCACTGAAGCTCATTGTCCTCATCAATAACATGAGATGGACTGAATCTGTGGGTATAAGTGAAAATGTACCTTTGATGGTACCAGGCAGGTCAGGGAAGAGTGGACTAAATATAATGTGATAATGAGTGGTGGGGATTTTACGTCTTGTCTAAAGAAGGCATCTGCTGCAGCTTAGTTTCAAGTGGTTTTTTTGTTGTTGGTTTTGGTTTTGTTTTATTTTTTTCTTTTTCTTTGTTTTATTTTATAAGAGAAGGTTGAAGTCTGGACATTTTTGTGTAAAATTTCCAATTCTTTAAACAGTTGGTGGGACAAGGCATACACACCGGCTGGCTGGTCTGTGATTTCTTGACTAGATTATCTCCTCTGACTTAGAGGATTCATGATTAAATGGGCTGTTTTTGTACAGTGGTAGAAACAAAATCCGAATTACAGAAATAATTTTAAACAACGATGAAAGGGGATAAGGACTTAAAAAGTGTCTTAACACAGCCTACATAAATATTGATTAAGAGCTGGGTTAATTGAAAAGTCAAGGTACATTAATAGAATAACAAAGTGTATTTCTTTGTGTTCCTTTTGTGTTGTATTAGAGCAAATCAGCAATATTTATCCAGTGCTAATTCTCAGTTTGCAGAGAGCTAATGTAATCATGAGATGAGCTTATTGAAATTCTTTTCTTAGACATAGAGACTTGCCCAAGAATGGTACATATTAGGAACTTTAGTCAGCACTTGCTCAGAATAGTAAATATGAGCATGTGATTTATGCCACTGTGTGTTCAAAGCAATGTTTCCTGAGACATTTTCTACTTGTGTGTTGACTGTTTTGTTTTTTTGGAGATTGGTTTGCTGTTTCGCCCTCCTCCACTTATCAGATTTCCTTTTAAATTCTGGCATTTAACAATGTTGCMGGGCCAGTTTCTCTGTGAATCCACAGTAAAACATACTGGTTGTTTCACAATTAATACAAACTGGGGTTTATGGTTTGCATGTTTATGTGAATTCCTGCATTTGTTTTTTTTTTTATGTGTGTGTTAGAGAAAAGGAACAAGCACAGAATCTATAGACTGAATCTTGAAAGATGAGTTGATTCATCAGTGACATCAGAAGGATTGTATTTTCTCTTGGTTAATAAACTATTTGTTTGGCGGGTGTTGTAAGCCTGCCAGAGCTAGTCATGCCATTTCTTGGAAAAGATCTGAAGCAACTGGTAATTGAAATGATAATCATTTGATCATAGTCAGAGCTATTTGAAAATAACACTCATCTCCAAACTTGTCTATTCTAGGAAACCTTATTTGGTCAGAATGTTGCCAAATTCCATTTTTACTAACGTTGAGACTGATATATCATGCAACTTAATTATTTTCCAGTACATTCTAGATTTGATTGCTGGTATGTCCTGTCCAGAAGCTGTTCCCATATGCTTTGAAACAATACCCAGTCTGAGTTTTTATTCTGACATTTAATAATCACCATGTAATAGCTATAAAATGCATGACAACTACAGATCTTTTATTTCAAGAGGATAGTGTGGTGAGTCTGGATGAAATCACCCGTTGAAATGGTACTTTGTAATGTGCCCCATTGTTGATAAAGTATTGAAATTTTTTTTTTCTTGAGCAGAAGATGAAAACACATTTTCCACTTAGTTTCTCCTTTAGTGGAAGTTCGTATTTGATCATGATAAGGGAAAAGATTCCATTACCAAAGTTTTACTTTTCATTTTTGATAGAGTATTTGTTACTTTCTGCTGCCTAGTAAACTTTCTTCTCAAGAGCAACTTGGGACTGAGTGAGGAAAAGTGAAATTTTAGATCCTACCTTATTAAGAGTTTTTAGAAACAAATCAGGGCTTCTTATTATGTGAAGCTTATCTTAATAAACCCCTTTTGGTTTGAATCGAAGTGGTGTTTGCAGTGGTGTGTGTGTGTGTGTGTGTGTGTGTGTGTGTGTGTGTGTGTGTGTTGGGGGTGTGGGGGTGTGTGCATATGTGTAGGTGGGGGAAGGAGGAAAGAGTTATGTTTAACAGTAAAATTAGCCAAAATCAGTTGTGAATTCCTTGTCTTTAATAGCTTAGAGACATCTTCCTGTTGTTGTTTTGTCTAAAATATTTCGAAGGTTTTGTAAGCTTAGGGGTTTTCACAGCTAAGCCCTCTTCAGAAATGTGAAGTAAAAGAAATAAAAGGAGTCAGTGCAAGTTGAAATGTCAAATGCTTCAAATAATTTAACTTAAAACCCAGTGAGACAATCTTTATAAGCCTTTTTCAAAGAATTGTTGGGCAAGGGAGCCTTCCCTTTGTTCCACGTATGGATATCTATTAAATATCTTGCTGGATTAATTCTGAAGCAGAAAAGTTGGTTGTTTCCTGGAAGCAATTAGAGATGCTTAAAATTCAAATTTATGATCCATAGGAGGAACTTAAGTTTCAACTTCTTCTCTTAGATTCAAAGACTTTCTCCTCACTCCACCCTCTCACCCCCTACCCCATATGTATTAAAAGAAAAAATCAGTTCATTTCTCAACTTACAAAGTTTTCAAGAAACATGAGAATGTGTAAGTTTCTTTCAGTGGGAAGCACATAACATTTATGAAGTATTTCTTTTGGGATTACATCACAGTTTTATTTAATTTTTAGGACAAAAGTTAAATTCAATATTTGTGTATAAGCCAAGGGAAAATGTACCATAAACATAGGAATTTTGGGGTGAGTCAGAGTTCCAAGAATCCTAGATTTACTTAGGCCATTTATATGGAGACAGGCTAACGATTAGTCATCTAGCCCTTGCTTTTTACATTTGCAATTAATTGCACCTAAAAATCAGCTTTTGCCCAAGTGGTGAGATTAAGGTAGAGTGAGCTTTRCAAATAGCATTCAAAATGACTATTAGGATTACTGCCCTATTTTTTTTTTTTTGGATACTTTCTAATTGTGTAACAAATATATCATTTAAATTATTGTTTAAATAACTACAGTGAAAAAACAATAAATCTCCAGTGAGTTATTGGAGATCCTCTGATATTGAAAAACACACTGCCTGCTTGCCTAAGGTTAAACATTCACATGGCATTTCAGGTGGGCTGTGTGGGAGAGTGTATCATTTATCTTTAACCCATAAATAATATTTTTTTGCCCATCTCACCTCTTGTAGGATGAAGTCATTGCTGTTTCCGAAAAGGTGATCGTGAAGCTTGAAGACCTGGTCAAGTGGGTCCATTCTGACTTCTCCAAGTGGAGATGTGGTCTACGAGCTGGGCCAGTGAAAGCAGAGGCATTGGGAAGAAATGGACAGCGAGAGGCTCTGCTGAAGTACAGGCAGTCCACCCTCAACAGCGGACTCAATTTCAAAGATGTTCTCAAGGAAAAGGCCGACCTTGGTAAATAGGATTCTTGCTTCTAAATCCAATGCGTGGGCATAGATCGTAACCTACCTTTTTTGTTGTAGATTTTTTTTTTCTAGTGAAGTGTGTCTCCATTTGTGTGTATTCACACTTTATGCTCAAAAGGGACTGAGAATACGGATGGAGAGATGATAGTGGGGTGGGTGAGGAATGGTTGAACGGGTGTTCCCTGTGGGATCACAGAGCCCTGTGCTGAGTGATGTCCTTAAACAACTTATAGGGCACCATCAAGACAGGAGACTTAAATTCAGGCACCTAAAATTGAATTGATGAAGAGCTGCTGTTAAGTAGATTGTGCCACATCTATTGATGCCATGTCAGAATTTTGTGTTTTACAATGGGTAGAGGGCAAAGTGAAGAAAAGAGATGAGTTACTTAATGTGAAGTGAGAGAACTACCAGAGGCAGGGGATCCATGGATTTGGCAGTTTATGGAGTGGATTTCCTTGAGCTCTAAGCATTCAACTGTGTTCTTTTCTTTTTTTCCTTTCCCTCTTCTACTATAAGTTTAAAGGAGAAAAGGAGCTTTGGAGTGTGACTAGTGCTTGAACACTAATTCTGACACCTACTTAGCTGTGTGGCTTTAGGCAAATAATTTAACCCCAAAGCCTCAGTTTCCCCTTGTGTAAAATAGCGTCATTGTAAGAAGAGAGGTGTAAAGAGTCCAGCCTGGTGATGACAGACACTAGGGACTGCATAATTGATTCTGTTGCTGTAACACTTTCTTCTCCCTCCATGATTTCTTTCTTTGTTCTTTTCCTTTTGTTTATATCCTTCTGTTGCCTTCACTGACTTATTCTCTTAGCATTGCTCAAGACCAAAAAGTTGTTGACCTCTGATTTAGCCTAGTTATTTCCTCTTTAGGCAAAGAGGAACTTCACTTTTAACATATTAAGGGATCTTTTTCTTTCATTCTAACACAATGCTGATTTTCACAGCCCTATTTTATGCCTTAATGTGGCAACTTCCTGTTTTTTTTTTTTTTTAAACCTAGAACTTAACTATTACAAGAAACCTTGATGATTTATTTTAACTGGCATAAAGAAACTGAATAACACCAGTAACTGACTGGGTCTTTCATGTGATTCTGGTTTGTGACGAGCTGTGCTGTGTTTTGGGAACAGCATTAATATTGACTTACAGTTTGCCAGTCAACAGTTTACTGATGTCAGAGGGTAATATTTGGGACATGGCAGCCTGATTGTCATGTGCACAATTAAAGAAAAGTATGAAGCCAGGGTTTTTTTTCCTAAAGCCAAAGAATTTTTTAATCGTCTTCTTATATATACTGTCACATGCCCCAATTTTGTGAACGCACAATGACTACCCTCATGACGTGTGAAAATGCTGAATAATACATCCGTTCTGTTGCTTTCCTAATGTAGGATCTAAGATGTATTGCCATTGTCTTATGTTTTCCTTAACATTAAAACCTTTCTTTGTTTGATTTTTTTTTTTTTAGTTGTGGAATATACTGTTACTAATAAAAAAAAATTAAACAGGAAACCCACGGGGGACAAAAGGATGTGTAGATGGTTAAGCTTGATGTCACACATATAAACAAGAGTATTTATAGCAGGGTTGTTTTGTGTTTCAAGTGGATAGTTTATTAATGAGCATGAAAAGAAAACCAATTTCTTAATTCCATCAAAAAGATTTAGAGACTTTGATCTCTTGGATTCTAAAAAATATCCATAATCTACCTTTTTTTACAAATTGATTCCAGAAGAAGTGGGTTTATAGACAATATTAAAAATACTTGCAGGTGGTTTGGCCTGGAAAATCTAGATTAGTGGTTTTTAAATCTAGTTACTCTTCAGATTCACTAGGGGAATTTAAAAAGCAATACTGATTACTGGGTTCAGCTTCCTCAGATTCTTTCAGGTTGGACTAAGGCAAGGCCCAAGAATGTGTGCTGATAAAAGTCTTGCTAGGTGATTCAGATTTTTTTTTTTTTTTTCCCTAGTCTTGAGAGACATCTCCAAGATTAGTGCTGAAGACAGGAAAATAATCAACAGGAGATTTGGTGGGCAAGAAACACCATGTACCTTTTCTTTTTTTAATGTAAACTACCCCTTTAAGGATAGAATTTAGGGCCTTGAAATTCTACTCAGTCGGTATGAACTGTGGGAAATTTGAGACAAATAGCTTTTGTAATTGGAATGCACACTGTGTTGTAATAATGTGGAAAGAGAAACAAAAACTTTCCTTAATGTAATGAGTTTCCATTATCTGCCTGATCTAAGGTTTGTAAGTCGACATTGTCAGGAATTATACTGGGGAGAGAGGGGGTGTCATTTGCTGTACACAATCCTGTCCCACCAACTCTCTCTTTAGCCTCTTCCTTTCTCTGTATACAACATCAAAATATTTGTTGTCTGTACTTTTCTTTCTACACAGTGGTTTTCTTATCTCTTTTTCTYTTGGCCACACTGAAACCATCTCCAATACCACATTGTTAATGGAAGTTCACACACTTATTAGGTTTTTCCTTCTGTAGAACCCTTCCAACTTCTCATTGTTCTTACCAAAGAAAGATGAACTTTGAGATTATCTAAGACCCTCCTCTTTTTTTTTTTTCCTGGTGAAAGTAAACAAAGAATGCAAAGATCTCACCTTTCTATGGATAAAGTAAAATTCTTAACATGTTATTTTTTTTAACTGAGTGATTTCATCCTGTTACAAAATTAATAATAAAGAAAGAAATTAGGTTGATTTTTAAAGAAGGGACTTTAAAATATCCAGGGTAATTAAAGAACTCTTCTTGCTCTGTGTTTAGGTAGAATAAGTTCCCTTTAATCCCAGTTTGTGTCACTTCCTGTCTCTGAATAGTAAAAAAAAAAAACCAAGAATGTTCTCACAAATGCGCGTCTGCCAACAAATTAATACTCCACAAAGAGAAACTCTGCCTCAAACGGCAGCTTCCAATAATTGCTGTGATTCAAATCACAAGTCTTTCATTTTTTATACCCCTTCCTTCTTGAAGGGGCACATTTGGACAATATTTGAGGATGACCCATTTGTTTCTTAAAGATCTCTGGAGTTTTCATTTAAGACTCTAAATGACTGTTGACTAAAATTACAGAGAAGTGTAGTGGAAAAACTAGTCATCTTTAAAAAACACTTGTGAGATATGGTAAAGTGGCTTCACGTCTTCCCTTTTCTTTGTCCTTTTAAAAGAAAATTCCATATGAAACCAGTGCAAATTGTGACTTTACTGGGTAAGATGTTTTACCTTCTTTCAGTCTATTTCATGCTGAAGTTTATTTTTAAAAATGAAGAAAAATAACTATGTTAAAATAGAAGGGTTAAGGAATGTATTATTCATAAGCATAACGAACACAAGAACCTGTTTTTCCAGAAGAATCGGGTTGATTAAATCATTCACTACACAAGCCTCTAGTTATTTATTTTTGTCTTTAGAATTACAGTACTTAGCTTTTGTAATAAAGTGGACTTGATACCCATATTTGGTATGGCAGTTGGAAGTAGTCAAATGAAGAATTGCTTCATTTTACAAAATTTTTAGCAACTGAGGAATATAAATACTATCAGTTAAACATAGCAAACTTGCATTTTTTTTWAATTTCTTGGGCTATACTTTGAAAAAAAAATCAAATTATTTTATATAACACTGCTTCTTACAGAGTTCCTTTAAGTGAAGTATGAAAGCTGCAGTGTAAGCTTTATTGGCCTATAAATATGTCATTATAGTTGGACTACATTTATATGCTTTGGATTGTTGTTTAAGCCAAGAAAATATGTCTCTACAGGTTGACTTTTTATTGAAACCCTTTGAGGCATACAACAAAATGTATTTTAGGCCGAGGTTATTAAAACAGCATTTTCATTTTTTTTGCAGCAGACTCATTGTCAATTATGCTGCCACAAACTGTCTGTGGATGGGCAGTTATGAATGGTTTCATCTCCAAATGTGCCTTTAGAAAAATAAATATAAGATAGAGAAGTCGGAACTGAAATTGAGAAAAGAGACCCAGTGTGTGTATGTGTGTGTGTGTGTGTGTGGTTGTGTGGTTGTGTGTGTGTGTGTGTGTGTGTGTGTGTGTGTCTGCATGAATTTAATGATGGAGGTTCCCTCGGCCCAATTTCTGTTTCTAAAGTCCCATCAAATTGAGAAAGATTAGCTTCCCTCTCCCTTCTGTGGCTGGGACTTCCCCGGTACTTGTGCATGGTGGTGTTGAAAGGGCAGTGGACAGGATGTCAGGAGAAGCTTGTCACTCCCTGGAAAAAAGGTGCTGTATGTTTATAACTTTGGGTCCTTTGTGTGTGAAATGAGTGGTAATATGTACCTGGTTTTATCTCATTGGATTTGGAGGAGATTAGCTGAGAACAAATTAATTAGTATCTATGAGTTTTTTTGTGATACTGAAGCCAAAGGTAGTATTTTCATTATATTATTTTTAGAGGGAAATTATATGATAGAGAGCTGTGTGGTACAATGATAGCTGATTTGTTCATGCTGAAGGTCTCTAATCATACACCCATTCTAGAGTAAACCCTGATTTACTCTCAATACTGTCTGCCTCAGTGGAAGTCCTTCAAGTTGTTATATACATATATATCTGTATTTTTATCTATAGTTTATCTATAAACTATACCTATATAGTTTATAAACTATATATAATATATATATATAAACTATATATAGTATATATATATAAACTATATATAGCTGTAGATATACAGTTATATAGATATATAATATACTTATATTATTTATATATTTTATAATGTTCTAGAAATTATTTAACTGTATGTACTAAATATAATAAATAGGCCACTTATATATTTTAAAATGTTATATTTATATACATTATATAATACAGAATGTTTTATATATTTATACAGGTAAGTATATATGTATATTCTAAAACTTTACATCT